CTCCTTTGTATCCCACATCAGCACAAATGAATTTTCTGCTGCACTGTCCCCTTTCGCGTCGCTCACTGTCAAAAACAAATAGAGCTATTATGTAACCAGAATAACATTTTAACTCTCCCAATGGCCACGTAAAGTGAGCTGACTCTCAGAGTCAACATTGCTGGGGTCCCCTGGCTAAAATTCCTAGGAAAATGAAAAAAGCACTTAAGCTTATTTTTGTTTTTAAACATTTCCCCGTTTTTGATTTCCTGGGCTGCAGAGGAATTCAGCAGTGTCCTGGGTTGTGTGTGTTTTGTTTTCAAGATTAATAAATATGCAAACTGTAAGCAAATATTCCACATCCAAAAAAAAAGAGAAAGCAAGCCTCCTCCTGAGCCTGGAACTGAAGGCAACACTGTGCTGATGCTCCAGACCCTCAAGACCCATTGCTATTGATAAGTAGGTCTTCGAGACTGATAACTATTTTGGACAGCAATAAAATAACAGCAGCAGCAGCAACACTCTCAATATATTTTGTTCCATTCTTAGATCTGATAAAGCTGTAAGCAGCAGTAGGAAGCTTACTTTGCACAGCACTCATTTTATTAGCAAAAAAATAAAACACAGAAAAAGTTTACTAAAGTCATAACATTTTTTGGATAACAGGATTTTTTTTCTTTGACTGCTGTACAAAAACTTTGTGTTTTACTGAAAATCACACCCTTGCACTGAATTTCAGCAAAGTACCAGAGATCAGTTCTGCTGTGGATATATATTAAGCTTTGGACAGGCTGAACTATTGACCTCTCTTGCCACTAAAATATCACTTAATCAGAAAACTGAGCTGTTCGCTGTTACCCAGGAGCAGCAGCCAATGTGACCAAATAACTTCTACTTTATAGCTGCCTGAGCAGGTGGGGTGACCAAGTTGAGACCACAACGCACCCTCAAAAGCCTCCTGAAGGAAAGGCAGAGCAGGCACCCGACATACTCCAAAGGAACCTAACCCAACCCGAAACCCACCCAAAGTAACCTAGATACTGCTACTGCCTCAAGTGCTGCCCATGGCCTTTGGTTTGGGCTTGAAAATGCTGGTGAGGCAATTAAAGTGAGCAACTATGCTGGGCTCCATGAAAAGAGCTGCCCATGTTGGGTGCACTGCCTGCTGTGGTGGGGAGGCAGGAGCCCTCTGCACCTGTAATCATAGAATCGTAGAATGCTTAAGGTTGGAAGGGACCTCTAGAGATCATCTAGTCCAACCCCCCTGCACACGCAGGGACCCCCAGAGCACGTGGCACAGGGTGGCATCCAAGCGGGTTTTGAAGATCTCCAGAGAAGGAGACTCCACAACCTCTCTGGGCAGCCTGTTCCAGTGCTCTGTCACCCTCACTGTTAAGAAATTTTTCCTTAAGTTCCTGTGGAACTTCTGATGCTTCAGTTTCCAGCCACTTCCTCTAGTTCTGTCGGTGGCCACCACTGAAAAGAGGCCAGCACCCTCCTCCTCACTGCCTCACTGATTAAATCCCCTCTCAGCCTTTTCTTCTCCAGGCTGAACAGGCCCAGCTCCCTCAGTCTTTCCTCGTAGGGCTGTGCCCGGGGCACCCAGAGACACCCTCGAGCCCTCAGCAAACACTTCAGCTGCGCTTAAAAGTGGAAACCAAAGGAGTGCAGTCTGAAGGATAGTGGACAAAAATAATATTTTTACTCAACATGTTTTTGTTTTAGTGTTTAACACTCCACCATGTCCTATATCCCACTGCTCAGCCCTGACATTGACATCAGACACATAGGACTGCAAACTGACAAAACAACATACAAGTTTTTCATGTAAAATGCAGTGATTTCGCTTCAACACACAAAAGATTAGCCAGGAAATCCCAGTTACGCAGACTGATTTTTGAAGGACTTTTAACTAATGAAAGAATTATCTGTTTATTAGAAATCAATTGTGTTTAGCATCATTGGAAACATTTCCTGAACAAGTCACCAGATGTTGTTTTCGCTATTAGGAAGACAGAAATACTCTAAACACCTCATAATAAAAGTGTGTGTCTGAAAGGGAGATGAGTACAGGCATTGCTCAAATTGTTCAAAGGTAGGATACATCTGCAGCAAAACACAGCCGAATAGATCAATAGTATGCTATTATGAAATATCATGAAATTATAAATACTAAATAAATTATAGGAAAAAAATCATTTGTATTATTTATTCCAACATAATGCTAATCCCTAGCTCTAGATATAAAATAAACAAAAGGTAGAATGCTAACCTATTCTTATTGATGGGTCTGTGATGTAGCTATCACTGGTAGTGGGCACATAAACATTAAAAACTCATCAGATCAATGCTCAGTAATGTGTGCTTTTTAATCCATACAGAGAGCAGTCAAAATTCATTCTGAAAATTCATTTTTTTCCCATTACTCCATTTCACATAATCAATTATAATTTGTTTCAAAATTTGAACTAATACTCGCAAAACTTATGGAAAGACAAAATTGAGAAAGAACATTGACAGAAAAGAGAATAAGGATATCTGTCTGAAGAATAAGTGATCTTGTCAGTAGCAAGAATTAGGAATAATTGAAGAATCTTCAGAAAGAAGATATTGCTGCAGAGATGTCATCTAATATAGCAGAGTAAATCATCTGCCAGTCACTAGTACAATACTAGTAGCAAAAGGGATTGCAGTGTTAGCTATTTCATTATTAGCTTTACCCTCTCTTATAAATCTTTTCAGAAGTGACTAATTTTTGTTTGTGGTTTGCCTTCCAAGAGCAAATATAAAAAACTACCAAACAGCAACTGGCTTCAATTTCTTATTGCTTGAAGGCCATTGCAGTTGCCTTGCAGAAGTCTTGGGAAGAAAAGCAGCCGTTGTCTTCGTGGTCAGAGAGGTGACAAGGAAGCCCAGAGAGATACTTCTCTCTGGATGTGGGCTGATCCCATTAAGGAGCCATTCTCTGATGTAGAAGAAATTCTCCAGCCTCACTAAAACTTTGCTGACTCAATTTTTCTAAAGAAAAATGGTTAATATCAACATACTTTTATGTATTAATGTATACATTTTATGTGTTAATGCATATTTTATGTATTAACAATAGTATACTTTTAAGCATACTGTATACAATTTACCTTTATGGAATATAATGAACCAGTTATACTGCAAGGCAAACACTTTGAGATTTTATTGAGAAAATAATCCTGTCACAAAAGTTTGGATTTTTCTTCTGAAGAATTCTCTTTTTTTGATTTATTTTGATTCCTAGCAAATTGAGTTAAAAATTTGCCACAAAGCAAATTAGATTTTGGTGCCTTATATGTGAGCATTAAAGGAATAATAATAATGATAATAAACAGCAGCCACAACTCCTTGTTTCCCCTGCTTTCTGAAAAGATGTCAAACTTCTCATAAATCATTACCTCCTTTTTTTTTTCCTTCCCCATTAGAAAGTTTGTGTCTGTCATAAACACTGCGTAAATAAAATTATATTTTTGAAGTGCTGGGAAAAAAAAGCTTTTTGGATTTGTTAATCTTGGCTCACTCTCTTTAAAACAGGGGCTGTTTCAGATTTCTAATGTACTTTTTCAAAACAATGTCTAAAATGATTCAGAACAATAAATCAATGCTTTAACCTTACTTAGATCTCAACAGCTGTCATCTGAACTGAGATGAGTACAAAAATCTTTTCACTTTACAGGAGAGAGAGAGACAAAATTAAAAATAAGATTCCAAATTTCAAAAATGCCTTCCGTTTCAGAAGGCCTCCAACTGACAGCTACTAGTTAAGGGATTAAATGATCAGCATGTTCATTTTACAAATATTATTATGCCCAAATTCAAAATAAAACAAAAACATACTGGCTAATTTTCAGGGATTTATACCTATTGCCGTAGCCCAATAGAGGATACTTGCAGTAGTAGCTTGCCATGCCAACACCAACTTTTTCCTTGAGTAAACAATGAATGATCATATACGCTTAGATAAGAACTAGAACAGATGTCCACAGAGGTCATCTCTCACTGTCATCTGCCCAACAGATGACCAGTGTCAGGAAAAAAAAAAAAAGGCTTTATTTATCTATTTTATACATACACACATGTACATACAAACAATGCATGGGAGAGGACGTCACTGCCACTCTTCCTTCTTAGTACTTTACCTCTGTTTTGAATATGTGCTTACCGGCACTCTCTGATATACCTAACACACTGCAGACTTTCAAATACTACAAACCAGGCCCTAAAAATACTGAGATTAGAAAAAAAAAAATCACTATTTAACTTCCTTTTATTTGCCTCCTGGTTTGGCCTACCTACAAATTTTTTCTTCTGTAACCATGAAAGGTAGGTATTATTTTCTTTTTTATAAAAGCTGAGATTAAAATAAGTAGCTTTACAAAGCACAGCATCTAACACAAGTTACCAATGCTTAAACTTCGTGATGCTGGAGATAAAGAGGCACTCTAAAAACCTGAGGCAGGCAGCAAGTTTCTGCAGCACTGATGTTTGCGATGATGGTAAGTAAAGGGAAAAGGGAGGAGACTGTTAATATTTCCATGAAGTTTGCCATGGACTCTGGCAGGCCATGCATACCCTCTTTGAAAAAGAAAAAAAAACAAACCCGTAAGGAAACAGCTTCTTTGTAAAATGCTGTTTCTTAAACAGACTCTTTTTCCATGCAAGTTTCTTTAAATAAAAATGTATTCAAAATGTGAGCACAACCATGAAGTGGAAAGCAGGCAGATTGTCCTTTCCAGAAGTAGAGGTTTCTGTCTTTTCATAAAGAGAAGGACAAGATTTTCTTAATCTTTCCACAGTGTAGGTTGTTAACCCAGCTCCCACAGAGAGTAAACAGGAACCAAGACCAGGCAAAATGGGAAACATGGAGAAAACAAATGCACATTGGCTCAAACGCAGTTGGATTCCTCGGGTGCCAAGGGAAACCTTAAGTTTAATTGCAGCCAACAAACCCACGAAATCACCAAGCAGGAGAGAGCAAGAAGGAGCAAACTCACCTGCACATTTGGTTCTGGTGATGAGCGGAGGTCCCGGCTGCCCAGTTCCTCCTTCTCCTGGTCTGGTGAGCAGCACCCGAATCTCGTATTCGGTATCTGGGTCCAAGTGCCAGAGTTTGTATGTCGGTGCGTTGACAGCGTGGGTTTCCGTCCAGGTGCCCGACGTCATGCGGTACTCCACTTCTTTCAGAATGATGGGTCCATCGCCGATGATGGAGTTGGCATTGAGCTGGATCAGCAGGTATGTAGGCCCCACACCAAGCAGCTGCGGGGGTGCTATGGGCCGGGGTGGCTCTGTTGGAGACACAAAGGAAGAAAATGCCAGCAATAAAACAAAAGCTGGAAAAGTCATTAAGAGGAGGACTCTTTCAGCATGAAGTTGTCAGGTTTTCATCAGCAGAGATCTAAAAACTTGAAAGCAAAAAATCAAAGCTACATCAGCCTAAGACAACCTGAGGAGAATTTCAGTTGATGGAAATGAGTGGAGCACTGGCAGCACCTCGGCAACATTATTTTTCCAATTTAAAAAGCTGGGTTGGGAACTCACAAAACCCTAATCTGATTTTTAAACTGGTATTTCGCAACATGTTTCCTAAAAAAAAAAAAAAAAAACTGTGTTAACGTTCATAAATGTATTTTAACAGACCAATAATTCAAGATTTTGAGAAATGTAACTGTTCACTTTTTTTTTTTTTGCTGAAAGAACTCATGTACAGAAATAGTTGCCAATAGCGTTATATGCTAATCCTGTAGAGAATATCTGAAAAATGAGTATCACTGCAGTTCATTTGAAATCCACCAGATGCAATTACTGTAAAAGAGACGGATACACATCAAAGGAATTCAGAATAACTCAGAACTGAGCAAAATTGGCTGGAGAATGACAAAATAAAGATAGTAACAACATAAAAAACTACTTTATTCTTAAATGACTTGCTGCAAATTTGGCAATTGAAACAATAGGATGTATGATACCTTTTCTCTCCCTCTGTTCCAATCAGCCTCCCCCCGCCCAAATATTTCAACACACCTGCAAAGAGAAAAGGTTATGAAAGAGGCCAAAAGAGGAAGGTGAAATCTCTCTTACTCAAAGCAAGGTTTGCCTAAAGTAGTACATTGCCTGGGCGTGATTTATTTTAAGAAACAATCACCAGCAACATGTACTTTGCTAATAAAATGAATCCACTGATAAACGTGGAAGGTTCGTTTTTGTTCCAGATGGCTCATATTTCAACTAATTTGTTTCAGTTAATTAGGCAACAACGCTAAATTCAATGCACACAGGGGTTTTTTACGGCAGCGATGCAGAACTAACAACGTGGCAACTCTGAGCAGGTAGACAGAGCTGATGGCCAGGCCAAAAAATAACATCTAACTGCAGAGCATAACGTTTCCCTAGGCCTGTGCCCATCTCACCACCACTCCTTCTCTGCTCCCTCTCTATAACAAATGCTGGTGAAGGGAAGACTTGCACTTACTCTGCCTTTCAGGAATGACCACATTTATGTTATAAAAATAGTATAGGACAAGGCAGGACCTATAAGCCCTCTGTGATGGTCTCCAGACCTCCTTCTAAATCCTACCATCATTTCAGGGCAAACCTTGGGTGAGAATTCCCTGCTTTTCTGGATGCAGTAGTAAAGATTTCCCTCAAGAATTGGCTCCTAACAGAAAATATACCAACCACATAAGCAAGCAAGCAAGTTTCCCACATTTTGCCACAAAAGCATCTCTTACTGACCTTTCTTCTAAATGAGCTGCCTATCAGACTATTCACTTTAGAGATGAGGGAACCTGTGAGCTCTCCATGATAGCCACCGGTGCAGCTTATTCTGTTCTCCCAGAGTAAAAAGGTGAATGCTCCCAGATGTCCCAATTTCTCATTTTGGATATACAATACTTCATAAAGTACCACCCTTAATTATTAACATCTTTTACCGCGTTTTGGCAAGAAAAAAGCATGTGAACTAATTTAGACCCCTACCTGAATCAAAGCCAGCAGTGCTTAATGAGGACTGTTTATTTGCTGTGGAACTAACACATTAAATGTCAAACTAATGAATTCTAAGGTCAATGTATATTATAGCAGAAAACATAAACGTTGATGGGATGACACGCTACCAAGTTCGAAACCCATTAAACATGAGACTGCATTTAGAAGCACACACTTTGATTAGGAGAGTGATTATTACAAGTAAAACCTCACATTAATGAGACTAATATATCATTGCATATTAAATTTTTATGTTAGAGGTAGAGCATATTCTTATATTAGCATATGTATTTTGTTTTTAAGCTCTTGAGGACAAGGAGACTTATTTATATAGTCTCTCCCTGTTCCAATAAATTATGCATGAATTTTAATCAGCAAACGAACAAGTAATTGTTCTGCAGCATTATTAATATTCTTTGTAATACAATATACTATCACAACCAGAGGTGTGGTGCCACTAGAAATCCCAAATGTACACTAAGTAGCAACTGAAGCATGCACTCCCAATCTACCAGATAAACTTTTCCAATGTAACCCAATTAACTTTCTATTAATTATTCTCATTTATTATTCTATAACCAGATCCATCAAATATCTCCAAAATATAATTTCAAATTGCATAATTTCTTTTTCTATATACAGTAACCTGAAACTTTTATGGCTTGAAAAAATACCATTAATTAAATCAGAAATAGGATCAAAGCCATTACTAATGTTTTGGTTACCATTTCCATAGCAAATATCCCTGTGTGCAGTACTGCTCTATCAATGGGTTTCTAGCACAATTAAGATCCTTCAAGGAAGTGGTGCTTCTGGCCTTTCATCCTAGTAATCTGGCTCCACCAAATAAATAATATAGTTATGGAGCATCCTGGAAAGACAGCCTGACCAAAATTAAAACCCTCTTATGCGTGGTATGAAAAGAAAAAAACGCCTGATAGTGAATCCCAAAGAAAGCCACTCTCAGAAATTCAGTCTGTCTTATAAAGGATATAAATACCTCAGCCCTCACTCAGGAGGAGTGAAAATTTTGGAGTTTAGAGTTTGGAATAGAGGTAGAGTCAGGGAAACTGCAGGTGAATAGGTAACATTTACCCTTTATTTCTGCTAAAACCAAACAAATCAACCCAAAACCCCTCAACTGCAGACAGGCAGTTCATGGCCAAAGTGCCATGCTTCTGGTTAGCAATCTTCAGTGAACACAATTCTACTTTTCTTAGCCATGAGCCTTTGCCATAATGATAGCCATAATGATTCTAAACAATGTTATACACAAAAATATTTCGACCTATGGATGGTTTATTAATTGGTCAGGAGAGTCACTGTTTCAGTAAGTGTTTCAAACATAGATGCAAATGGTTCAATTCCCTGCATGGTAAGCTACATTTCTTCCTTTGCTGAGCACAAACTTCAGAAACTAGTTTCAAGTGTGACTTGTTTAATTACAGACTCATTTTCTGACTATATTTTTAGCTTCTGCTTAAAGTTAGCAAATCTGATGAAATCCCTTCCAGTATGCATGGCCACTAACACCTCTGAAAGACTATATAAAAAGAGCACTTGTACATCTACAAGATATTAAAGACATGAAAGCATTTTCATGCATAGCATTTTGCAGTATTTGGCCAGTTCTGGTTTTGACATAAAATGCCCACGGCCAAATTAATCAAAAATTAAGTCTGACATTTCATCCGTACAAAGTTCCCATTCTGCTGAGCTACTAGCAGTACATTATGCTCACATCAGTATGTGTGTGACAGTATGCATTAAATGTACTGTGATATTTAGGCACTGGTGACTGGAATGAGCATGCATCAACCCCAGCTAGAAGGTTTCTTACAGTTAAAAAGTTGTGTCATATTCTTAAAATCAAACATTGCATGTAAATAACTATTTATCCATAGGCAGAAAAAACAGCAAGAAAAACCCATTAGTGTTATAACTATACGAACTAGCATGCATAAAATTTCCTATACTCTCAAGGAATCTACACATACTTTGCTGCTTAATATTATTCATCCAGTCTGGTTGACAAGAGCACTATGTGTCCTTCTGAAATGAACCAGCACCTAAATTTGAACTAAAGGAAGGAAGTTTCATTAGTATTCTAGTGGCAACCCTATTCTGTTAATGATGAGTTCAAAGCAGAGAAAAGAAATACTCAGGCCAAAACAGAACCTTACGTCTTCTTCCACGCTGGAGGAAAAGCCGACCCTGGAGGAAAAGCTGACCTTGGAGGCGCATCCAATAAAATCTTACTTATTTGTCCAAGCCACGTGTGATTGAATGTAAGATGAATCAACCACAGGACCCTCTTTCCTTGCCCACTTCTCAAAGGTTTGGGGGCTTTTGCTGGGTTACACAGTGTGGTTACACAGCCCAACCACCCGAGACAGGCACAGCCTTTCATCCCCAGGACACTCCACTTTCCCTCTCGCACACACAGACCTGGCACACACCAGCACCCTGCAAAGGTGCTCTGCTCACACATTCAACGTGGCCTTGTTCTGGGCACAGCACATGTTTAGTCTTCTTTACCAAACGCCTTACATGAAGCAATAGATTCAGTACGATAAAGGGTAACACCGGTTTAATTTAACACACAGATTTGGAATTATTCATAAAAGGCATAGCTTTTACAATTATTCCATGACAAAGTATTCCATGACAAAGTATTCATTTATTTAAAATGCCCAACAATATTAGCATCACCCCTCCAGAAATTAAAACCTGCATATGTCAAACTCTAAAGCCTTAAACTACAAAGAAAGTGGGTAAATAGTAAAAGAAAACCCTAAATTCTCTTTAATATTTCCTTAACTTAGGGAAAAAAAGAAAAAAGTACAGATAATACTGGATGCACAGGGAAGCACACCGATGATACCTCTGCAGGAAACTCAACATCGATTCAGCTCCCACCTAGATCAAAGTCATTTTTTCCTTCCAGGAAAATGGTTATTTCATACAAAGCTGTTCAGATACATCTGCACGTTGCTTTTAAGAACGAGCTTCCCAGGACACGAGGAAATACAGCCTGGGACACCCAAGGCCTCTGGAAGTGCAGAGGCTCAAGCGAAAATCCCTGCACACCATGAGCTGACCCTACAGCAGGCTCTTCTGGTGCCTCTGCCATGTGATCCAAGTGGCGCTGAGCAACTGCAGCATAGACCCAATGGCACCGAGCCGAACAGTGCGCAAGCAGGCTGCCAATTTTAGGCTCCATGAATACTATTTCAATACTCTTCTTACCCTAGAAGATTACATATGGTTTCAGGATTCAGACATTTTAAAAAAATATTGA